ATTTCAACCTCAGAGCTGGTCTTTCCACTGAGAGATCTCCTTACGCATGTATCAAAAACATAGAAAAATAGCATGAAACACTCTTTTCATAATATTTTCAAAGGTTATAGAATATATTCACTCTCTCCCTAAAGTGTGGTAAGTGTGACCTATTCATCAGGTACCTGGAATGCTTAGGCAATTCTGTCTATCAAATAATCTAATTAAACGATTTAAAGGGAGACAACTTACTCTCAACTAAACCCATTAAAGGGAGATAACTTACTCTGAATTAAACCATTTAAAGGGAGATAACTACCACAATTTAAAGGTAGCATGTCTCCTTTAGCACTTAAAAAGATTTTTATTTTTTTTAAAGCAGAAGGGGAAATAAAGCTATAACATGTCATTACACCAGGTAAACATAGTAATTTTGGTTAGACATGTTTTAAGGATATATACAAGCTGTGATCATTCTCAGTCTCGGGAGTTATCTCAGGTTTGATAAGCTCTCTCTATATTAATTTACAATCATTCTTCACAGTTATTGGTTCAGTCAATAAAGCATGTTAATAATATGCCTTGACTTACAAAATATACTTAAATCTCTCTTTTTGGCTATTCCACAAATAAAGAGGGGAAGGGAGGCAACTGTATCTGCTACCCACCACCTAACAACCATCTTGTCCTTGATGTCAACAATGATTTTGGACATCACCAACCAAATTTTAATTATATCAATTTAAAAATGTTCTCTTTCAGCCCCTTCTCCACACATATTTGCCACTCTGGATTAGCCTTAGAGTTGGACAATACTATAATAATAGTACATGTATTAAATAACAATATCAATGTTCTTTCTCAAGAAATACTAGGTTCTCTTTTAAAAGTACTTAAACAATGTTACCAAGACATTACAATATTAACATATCTTGATGATGATAAAAAAAATCTTTTTCTAATAATTTCTCTAATAACTTACTGCATAAATCACTTGTGACCTCATCACAGAAGAGTTTTTTCACAATGTAAAACAGGTGGAAAAATATCTTAAGGGTTGGCTTTGATGAAATTGACATCAGTACATCAAAAAAATGACAAGTCACATACAATATTGGATAACTGAAACATCTTTTAGAAAGATTACAAATAAATGATATTTTAGTCAAAACTGATCTTTTTCTTCTAATTATGTAATAAATTGACATAGTGCTGTATACAGTTGTGCCTAATCAGTTTAGATTTCATTGTGATAAGAGAAAATATCATTTTGTTTGACAGCTGTACCTTAGCCAAAGGGGTCCTGTAGTATTGAGGGTCATGGGCTCTTATATAGAGGTGATATAACACATACAAACATACAGAAGGTCCTCATTTAAATAATTTAATGGGTTTTAATCTGTCTAAGAAATAGTTGTGCTTTGTAAAAGCATTTAGTCACAAATGTAAACAGTTTTACAAAACATTCTATATTTCTCCTGTCATTTTATATTAAATCATTCGCCCCTGAAGACACATTTGAACTCATCCAATTCAAAGGTTGGAATAGTTCATTATGAACTTTCAGGGGTGAACGAGTTAAAAACCCTGCACATCGATGAACATTTGGTTTGGTTTATTTACAGTCAAAACCTATCTTTTAACTATTAGTTCACAAGATATATTATCTATAATTATATCAATTTTTAAATATTGCACTCAAATCAGAGCATAATCAGAGGGAGTATCTTGAGATAGTGCGATATACAGAAAGCTTAGTAGAAAAGATTTGAGGCAGAAAAACAGTATTAATAGTTTAAAGCAAAGTGTTAAAGAAAGATTTGCAGAAGGAGAACAGTTTTCCTTTATGAAGCAAATTCATAAGACTGATGACATTAAAACAATAAGGTCTTAGACATAGGGTATATTTCAAGAAAAGCTTCAAACACGATTTATCACAGAAATTGGTGAAATGATGAAATGTGTATTATCATGTTGAGGTTCGACAGGGGAATGGTTGTGCCTCTTGTTTTAATTTATAGACAGCTACGCCCCTTTTCCTCGCAATGTTCAATAAGTATCTGGGAACAAATTTGATATAAATTGACAAGTATAAAATAATGTTTCATTTCACTACAAGCACACCATTGAAAATAAAGAAAATAAAGATGATACATATCCTGAAAACTGACACCCATTCTGCTTTATCTGTGACAGGTGCCGAAGAACAGGTAGGTGGATACCCTCAGTTTTATCATGAAGATTGTATATAGGTGATTGACAGCTAATAGATCAGATTGATTCACGAGTTTGTTTTATTGCGAAGGATGATAGTGTTAGGTAATTGACTAGCACAGATATCTAATTTACCAGCTGGACTACACAGGTAATGTTGATACTTTGTGACTTCATTTGTCATCTATTCAATATCATTGGAAATGGCACAGATTAAAAATACATGTCTCACTATGGTATGATTTTTTTGTAAAGAAAGCAATATTCGGGAGTAGTATCTGACTTGTTCAAGTTAATCTGGGTCTTAAATATCCTAAACCCTCTTACAAGCTAAATATGATCATATTACGACTTCAGTTGTGACATTTCTAGCTAGAAAAGAGTTACGATAGGAAATTATAACACGCTTGTAACTGATGAGGGAAATGCATGGCCAAACCAGAATTTGAACCGGGACCCTCCAATTTCTAGATGGACACTCTACCAATTGAGCTACCTGGTTGCCAGCGATCAATCCAATCAATTCTGCTACATTCCTCCCTCTTTTATCTAAACATTTGCCCCCAAAGACAACACTATTTACAACCCAGGTTCACAGTGTTACAGGAAAAGAAAAATACACTAACAGACCGGAAAGCAAACCTCCAAACTTTAGACAGACGCTTTAACTGATCGAGCTTCCTGGGCCCAGTTGTTCAAACATTGATTAGATAAATCAATGATTCGCGCAAATTTTCTTTTTGTGTATCTTTAAAACACAGCTATTAAGCCAGTTCAAACTTTCCAGATAGCAACAGTGTCAGTACATGCAAATCTACAAGTGTCTACCTTGTATGTCTACCCTTGTATGTCTACCTTGTATAATGTTAACAGTGATTAACCTATTCACCTTCTGAACAACTGGGCCCTGGTTATTGGCCCTCGACACATACCAGTCTGCTACAGGTGTAAAATGGATGGCCACAATATCAGGAGTAACGCAGTATTATTTACAGTACATTACATGACCATAAACAATTTAGCCAATCATAAATAGTTTTATCTGATCAACTCCTGTTAAACAGGTACTGAATTTGTTTTTGGAATGAAGTGTTAAAAAAAAGTGCTTGAAATTTCTGAATGAAGTACACTTCGTAAATATATTGATGAGAAAGATGAAAAATGCTGCTTTTTACTTTACCTTTTTATCATTTTTAAAATGTGAATGTAATGGGTTATCTGTATAACGTAGTGAAAACGAAGCTGGTAGGATTAACTCCTTAATTTCTGCATCAAATGTTCTGTTTTCAAATGTGAAAACTTTAAAACAGGAGTATTCTCTCAACATGATTTCATTTCAAATACTTATACAAGTAAAAATCATTTAAACACATGTATTCATTCCATTTAATTAATATCACCATGCTTAATCTTTGAGATTGAAGAAGATATTCATTTGAAAAACACTTCATGATTTAACCTTAAATACCTCTTATCAAAAGTGAAGTGAATGGTTTTTATAATGTTAAAATACAATTTGGGTACTATATCACAACATTAGCAAGGTTTTAGTAAAAGAAACAACAATTTCTGTTTATATATATCTGTTTTAAACTAGCTTCACTCAAACTTCACATATGCTGTGTACAGCGAATTTTCGCCTCGTCAAATTTTCACCCTACGAAGGTAAAATCCATTTTCACACAATATCAAATTTGACCTTCACATTTAATTACTATGCATACCACATGTGTACGAATGTTCCCTGTAAGAAATTCACCCTCATTACAGAGGGAGACAAGGTTACCGCGAGCGGTATATATTACGCCCGTCACACATTGAATGAGCAGTTGTTTGTATGATTGAAATATATGAAGTATTTGTGAGTAATTGATATTGAAAGAGAAATCATTCAACATAACTGGTAGATCAATGAGTGCAATTCAACATCATGGAACACATGCATCGCATTAATGAAACCAAGGGGAATAACTCCAATAATTACGGTCGGATAATGGCGGTTATCGAACTTGTCCGAGGTTTCATGGTAATTAACCTTGTTGTGAAGTTTGAAGTTAATCCGTTAATAATTACTCGAGATATCGAGCGGACACTGTTTCGGCAAGTCCATAAAGGGGCATAACTCCACAAATTATGGTCGGATAATGGCGGTTATCGAACTTGTCCGAGCTTTCATGGTAATTAACCTTGTGGTGAAGTTTGAAGTTAATCCGTTAATAATTACTTGAGATATCGAGCGGACATCGTTCGCATACGTCCCCGTCTTCGACGGGCGTATAAAAAAGTAAAAATTAACCTGCAGCATAAAAAATGTCCTAGTATTACAGTATATCACCATCTTGAATGGTTTTTTAAATCATGGTTTACAAAATAATGCTGTTTCTGCTTTTTAACTGAATAATGAAAACTAGAAATGCATAACATTCTGATACAATTTGAAGTACAGCAGGACATATAGAACAAAGATATATCGTACAACCTAGTAAGGAATTTGATTCAGAATCGGTTGGAATCAGAAGACCCTGATATTTAAACAGCTATCTGACCAAGAATCAAATTACACTACCACAAATTACACCATTAATCAGTTTTTACAAAAAGAAAATTTCCAGCCAGAAATTTCTGCTATGATTCATAAAATTGAAAAGTGTTTATTTTCATAACTCAAAATATCTCACCTTACCATGTACTAAAGTATCATATGTATTATCTGTATATATTACATCTTTGTTTTAATTTTTGAAATTTTCCTCCTTTGACTCATTCACTCCTGAAATTTTATGATGAACTATTCCAACCTTTGAATTGGAAGAGTTCAAATGTGTCTTCAGGGGTGAATGAGTTAACACACAAAAAATGATGGAGGTACATGTAATGAATATAATGTAGCATAAAATGGAGTTAACTATATATCAATTAAATCTATCATCAGATCAGGAAAGATCCAATTACTGATAAAGCTAACCATTTGTCCATCACTAGTACATGTGTACAACCCACATTACATCTCTCACCATTCATGAAATGTCTAAATTACTACTCTTCCATATCCCTCAATATTTCTGTTTAATAGTATTTCCCTCTGAATGATGCTTGTATACATCAGTTGTTTAATTACTAATTCATAGTATTCTAAAGAATTCCTTTTACCTACTTGCTAACAGTATTATTACCAATTCTGTACAAAATAGTCGAATAAAATATTTAATTTGTTAGCTTTTTTATTTTATTTTTAACAATTTCAAAATGTAAAATTTGTGAAGAAACTTCAATCAACAGCTTTGTATAATCTTTGAAAGACGTCTTTAGAAATTATTTAAAATTTGACTAAAATTTAGTTTTGTTATCTTAGTGCAATATTAGATAGATATTAATTTGAGGAAAATCACCTGCATTTTTAATGTCTGAAGAAAAGTTGTTTTTGTAAGATAATGTATCTTTTTATCTTCAATAAGATTCATCAGTTTGGAAATATGTAATATCAAAGTTTTACTTTCTACACAAACAATGTATGTATCAGATGTGTAATAAACCTATTAACCAATGTTTAATACGTACATTGTAAGTGTATAAAGTAAAATTTTAATTAAATAGTATGTTTCTTATTTTTTAATACATATATATATACAAACACAAATGCCATATTAAAATCAGAACTGTTACTAAACTTCAAAATACTTAACTTCAAAATAATCAAGTTTCTATATTTTCCCAATCCAAAATGGTTATAACCAAACAATAAATAACACATTTTTTAAGGATAAATAGCGAATTCCTAAACTGCTTTAAATCATCGCATGATAAAAATAAATTATTATGCCTTTTAAACATCATTATATTAATTTGGACACTTACAGGTAATTCTTAACAGAACTGAAAACAACCTGTTTTTTAAATCAATTTTACAAATCATTTTCAAATGGTTTTAATAATTGAAAGCTACAATTTGGAAAGGAATCCTTTTGAAATAAATAATTTCTGAATTCTGAAAACGGCAATCTGATCCACAGCAGTGATGAAATGTTGTCCCTGTTCTCCCCCATGGCCTATAACTCGTCTTTATGAAGAATTGTGTATCGGTTCTCTGAGGGGGCCAATTTTTTAAATGTAGATTCTGGTGGTGATGTTGGTGATTTGACCTCGCCGTCCTTGTCGCTAGCGTCGTGTGGTATATGGTCGGTTTGTGCCGCCGCGTCTACTTCATCATTCTGTGAAACCAAAGAAACACCATTTAGCAAATTAGATTTACTGTTTATGGATGATCATGCGACATCTATTGCATGACATCACAGACAAATATGCAAAGCTGCCCCGGATTTTTAGTACTTCAGGGGACAAATTTGGTTAAAATATTGTCCTGAAGAAGCCCACTGTTGGAGCAAAACCAGTCGACGTATCCTAAGAAATAAAACCTAACTTATCCCGAGTTTGTTGCGGTTGACTTCGATACTAAGTTTTCCCTATTCTATAACTGCCCTGCATACTGGGTGGTACCTGGGTACGGGATAAACAGAACCGACCGAACCTTAATAGAAATAACGGCGTTGGCTCTATTCCTTGAACTAAGCATTAAACATATGTACAAACTCACGCCTTCTGTTATTTTCCATTGCGTCCATGGAGCAATTTACAGTAAAATTTGTTCATTGCAATCTAAACAGTTGGATCAGAGTTGTTCATGAAATAAGGTCGGACCTAGTAATCTGATGATACTAACTTTCAAGCAAGTCTTGACAAAGTCTTGTAAGGCCTGCATATACCCAAAAATGTTACATTTAAAACAGATGGTTAAACCGGATACACGAAAGAGGCCCATAGGTATTTCATTAAATTTCAATAAAACCATCATCAAATTAACATCATTTTTTTTTCGAAAAAAGGAATATTTCAAATAAGTAAACATCTTCAGGATCTTGGTAAGTTCATTAATTATCTGTAACTTCCTTTAAATACCTCTACGTAAATCATACAATTCATTTTCGAATAGCAGCCTCTGTTATACTCACATTCTGTGCACCTGTCGTCGTGGGGTCAGGGCCATGATGAAATTCACGATGTAATTTACCAGAATGAAGATCTTGTATGAATTGTTTTAAAACACCCGGTTGACTGAAAAAAGGTAAAATTTATATATTGTTGTCTTTCATACAGGTATTCATCTTTATTCACATTTTGCAGTTTGAAATATTTTTCACCAAACACGACAACTATACTTGCATCTATATTTGAGTCATATAATCATTTTCAATTCAATGTTATTAGTTGATAAAGTCATAAAATGATCCATGATTTTTGGTTAGGGATAAGAATTTTTCTGGCAAAGGAGAAGCTATCAGAGTAACATAAATTATATAATCCATAGTAATAAAATTACATTTTTGATACATATTGAGAAGTGGTGGAACAAAAATAAAATCAAGGTAGAACTATCAGTATTTTGTATCTATTGTTATGCGATTAATCAACATTCTCTGAAGGATAGAAAAAAAACCTCATTTGTTTTTTCAAATATAAATCATAAAAAATGGGGTTTTAATCTTCTTTCGTCTAGAAAGTTGATAAATGTAAATATGTTTAAACAACTTACTCCATTTCGTTGGTATTCTTTGGGAAGACATACATATGTCTGAAGCTATCTATAGCCAGGACGGGCAGGTCACTGGTAGATTTCCCTAGATGATGCAAGGGATGAGAGAACTTCAGACCATCAGCAGTCAGGAAATTCACACTCGCTGAAACGGAAAATCGTTTATGGATAAGTTTTAGGCAACTGAAATTTTCACAAGTAAAACCTGAAATTGTTGATATGAAACAAGCAATTCACATAAATACTTATAAATCAAAGCAAACAGTTTTGGTAAGGAAACAATGTATGAAGTGTAAACGTATCGCCCAGAAACCAAATTTCTTCTTATAGAATCTCTGAACCTGACCTATGACTGTTCAACTTGTATCAATACAAGTACAACGTTTTTCATGCCTTTGAATTTTCTTTTCTGTCAAAATTACAGAAGTCTAGCTTTTTGAGTTACTTCAATATTATGCCAGATATAAACAAAATGTCTAGAATTTTGAATTGGTCACTTTAAAAACTTCCTTTTTTTAATTTTGTGTGTGTGTGTGTGTGTTTCAACATATTTGACCATACATGTGACAATGAAAGCAAATTGCGGTCTTTCATGACCTTAGCATCCACCTTGTGGATGAGACTAGAAGACTAGTTTGATCATTCGATGCACATCAAAAGAGTCTGTCGATCATGTAACAGTAAAATTGACTGGCTTTGAAGTTGGGTGTCACTCCACTGCAATCTTCAAACAAAAGGTGTCAGTCTAGCTAATTAATGGTCAGGTTTTTATACCCGAGACCAATCAAATAGCTAGCCACGTGCCTTCCACTTTGATATGACGTATACCAGGGTGCAGATAGCAAAAGTGAGCGTAACCCCTGGAGTATCGAGGGTGCCCCCTGGAGTATCGAGGGTGCCCCCTGGAGTATCGAGGGTGCCCTTGGAGGTATAGAGCAAACAGTGGTACTGTACTCGGAATAGTCACAATCAAAAGGTGTACAGCTGTTAAATTGGGCAGATTGGTTGACTGGTTAACACTCTGGCCTTCCAAGCAGGCAGCCGGGGTTCAATCCCCGAAGTCGCCGTAAGCATGAAATATTCAGAGAAACTGTTTTTCTCCTACCCACACAACTCCAGCAACCCAGGTGGAGAATAAAACGGTCTGGGGTTGGTGTTGCAGTATCTGTGCTGTAGCATTCAAGTGAGGTGGAACTATAAATGATACTGTTGAAAGCACGGTCCCACTACAAACAGAACACAATACATATCCAGCCCACACATAGGGAGATATTAGCCAGGTGGCATAGGACTAGTAGTTTCACCTGATAAGGCAGCTCCTGCGAATTCCTCAATATTGTATTGTTTAATATATATATGCTAATTGTATTGACTGTATAAAATTGTATATCTATCTACTGTAAAGTGCTTAAGAGTGGCTTATGTTAGCTAGATAGGGTGCTATATCAAATGTTGTATATCTATTTAAATTATTTTAGATGTTAAGGTCAGTGTATTCTATAGTCAGCAGACTTACTTCTTTCTCCCAATAGCTCCTGATTGACAACGTTTGAGAACTTCTCTACAATGGCTCTATCGTCAGGATGATGGAAAAGGATCAGGAACGGTATACCTTCCTCTGTCAGTTCCTGTGGATAATTAACATCAATCTTCACATCTCATATACACCAATCTATTTTCTGAAGACTGAAATTTTACAAATTTTCAACCAAATAACGCACAACATACGATATTCACACAATTTATTATGAAAATGCGGGTTTATTTCTCTCTTTGTAAAGCCATATCTCCTAAACCAGTTGTGGAATGAATTTGATATTTCATAATTGCAAACTTCATTTATTCCAGTTAACGAAATATAACAACTAATTCAAAATCCCTGATGAGGCTGGAAATGGCCCTTAACACTCCTAGTCCTTTGGTAAAACTGAATTCCTAATCACTGTTTTTTATACCCCCTAGTCCTTTGGTAAAACTGAATTCCTAATCACTGTTTTTTATACCCCCTAGTCCTTTGGTAAAACTGAATTCCTAATCACTGCCTTTATCCTGACCATAATAATTGTTCTCGATATGTTTGACATTACCTCAGCATTTTCGAAGGTTATTTCTCTGACCAGTGGCATGCACCTCTCTGTAATCCACTGCAGAAGCTCCTCGTAGTTATTCAATGCTCCTGGATACTTCACATCTTGTCTTATTGTCTGAAAAAAAACAAAGATCTGAAATTCTTCCAAATTCTAAAATTATTTCATCCCTGGCGACTATTGACTCAATAAATTTTCCTTAGCTTTACCACTGCCAATATGCACCAAGAAAAAAGTAAAGTTTTCCTTTTTTTTGTATAAAAACTTTTCCTTTCATTGTTTTCTAATGTATTTTTATGTGGTACATGTATCAGTTATTTAGAAAGATTAAAAATATTTTCATGCAAAAGTAAAGTATTGGACCAGACATTAAAAAAACAAATTGGTCATGAGTATAACCATCAAATTCTGACTACAAATTCTAACAGATTTTGTTATAATCTCTGCTAAGGATCAAACCCAAGGTCTTTGGCATACCAGTGTGACACTCTACCACATCAGCTAAAGAGAATTTCTCTTCAGCTCAATCAGTGGAGCATCAACACAAGTAACCCACAGGTTCCTGGTATGACCACTAAAAGAAGCATTTAAAAAAAACAATGACTTCTTTTACATGATTTCTCTTGAATCAAAATTATACAGAGAACTAAAATCAGTGTATACTCATCCGTTGCTTCTGTGTCTGGTCCTACTTACCTTTGGTGCACGGTATACAACATTGTCTCCCCCTAATCTCTCGCTCTCTGATGCTGGACTGAAGTTACAAAAGATCAACTGTATTAGGCTTACATTGATAAAATTTGAATTAATGGCATACTTTTGTAACAGATGATATAATTTTATTACAGGTGTTATCATAACAGGCTAAGGTGTTTTGTAGTTTGGTTCGCTGCTGTTATTGTCTGTGTTAATGTTAAGTGGACTGGTGTGTTGCTGTAAATGGCTAGTGGCTGTGTTATAGGCTCTCCCACATCTATGACCAAGTATTGAACAAATCGTAGCTGAACAGAGTCATTTCGGTACATATATAACAACTATTTTACATGTGCTTACAGCGTAGCAGAACCTACATCGATTTTGGGGATAATTGTACACATTTTACACCGTTGTGTGCATACACTTCACTGGTCATTTGTCTGATGAAGGTGACAGTGTACATACTGTACTAGTCATCGTAACATCACATAGAAACTCTTATTGGTTGTGTAAAAACAACTTTTCATAATTGTTACAAGGTACCTACCCTAGAACAGCATGGAAATTACACTCGTCCCGAAGAGTGGTGGTCACTTTCATATAGGTCTTGTAGGGTTCACTCTCCTGGTTCCCAAAATATCCAATTATATGTCTCTTATTATCCTGAAAAGGAAATTTAATATCAAATCAAATTATTATACATGTCCGATCTATAATTGAAATAATATAGACATGACTTTTTTCAATTCTGGCAAACTGCTCCAATAGAATTATCAGAAACAAATTTCCTGTTTCTATTTCCTTGATCTTTTAGTTCTCTTAGATTTACAAGAAGTTAAAATTAATGTAAATGATATCAAATCAAATCAACATTTTGATAACGTCAAGTCACACTGTTCTAAGCATGTCATGATTCAATGACATTTGATTAATATCCAACTTACGTCCAACTCGTCCAGGGATTGCAGTGTGGTGTGTTGCTGTATGGGATCCTTCAGCTGTTCCCTGATGTAGTTGGCCAGCGCATCTGCTGTTCTCTGTCCCCGGTACTCTTTTTTTATAACCTGTCCATTTCTGTACAACTTAAGTGTTGGGTATTTTGATATGTGATTTTCTGCTGCTATTGTGCCTGTTAAAATAATATGAATAATATAAATATTATTTTCGAATGGTTGACTTAAAATTTGATTGGTGTTTGTGTAGGTCTTTACAGAAGAGCAATACCTGATAATTTAGCAAGAGTCTGACTAGGGTTTTGGGGGTGTGTTCTTTCATATACTGTAAGTTTACTGTCAGAATGTGGTTCAGGGATTACGCGATCTGTTCACAGTAAATCTGGCTGTGATGTTTTTGATGCATACACATTCCATTGACGACTGCTCTTTAGTGTAAGTCGTGAGTATTTTATCATGTCTGCCTGCTGTTACATATCCTGGTGGAGTTTGTATATGAATTTAACATTAGTTTGATGTAAAGTGGAATTTCATTGTACATGATTATAAAGTGGTTGAAGATATAGAGTAACAAATGTTTAAAAATTAAGTTTCGTTTAAAAAAGTATTCTTGGAAATATATTTACTTTCTCTATCAGCATCTACTTTTCCAAAAACAACTCGTCCTGATTGCTGCAATAAAAGTTAACAAAATTATTACATTTATTTTATTATGTCTTGATATATAAAAGCAACTTAACATTGAAGTATATTCAGAATGCAATATTTGATTTACAAGTAATTATTGATATATATTCAGATTTCTTTTCCTCTACAATACATGCAGCTCATTGTAAACGTATCATAAATCCAAATAATGGAGAACTACAATGATAATGTGGAGACATAAATAATGGTAATTTATATTAAAGAAAGGGGAGATAAGTGTTTGCTTGAAGTTAGACTTGGCTATAAACTGATAACATATTTTTTTAAGTATCATTTTAATATCGAAAATATTGCTTACCGGAAATTCTTCTTTTATTTTATTTGAAGTTTCTAAAAAGATTGGTGTTAATATCTGACTGAATCTGCACCTGCAAAATAATAATTTGATTTTATTACAGACACATTTCAGTAATTGAATATTTTCTTTTCTGTCTTCTTTCACTATTAATTCTTAAAATTATTCATCTATAAGTGTGTTCCTTTTGACAGAGTACTTGGTCTATAGTCCACCAAAACAATTAAGTTATCCTTGCAGGGGACTTGTTCATTGTTCCTCAACCTTTTCCTGTATATTACTGTATCAAGATGTTATCACTTTTTTTTTTCAAGACTAAGTACATAATACATATTCGTATATTTCAAAAAACATCTTGCAGTTTGGTAATATTATCTTGTTTCCTTAGAAATGATTAGTAATAATATTTTTATGCAACAGTATGTCCCCCCCCCCCCCACGTGACTACATAAGTATACTCACCAGTCGGCATAAAAATTGACAAAGACAACATCATTTGTTGCTGTAAAAGAGACAATACAGACGTTAGTTAGTAAGAATGTTTCTAAACCATTCAACATTTTAAAAAGTATTACACGGTATTGATTTACAAGTTTTGACATTGTGTGTCCAACTTCTCCCAAATTCAGCAATCAAAACATTACAGTAATTAATTTTTCAACTGATATGGAGCCTCAAGGTAATGTCAACTATTTTGAATAGTTTGAAATGATCTGTAAGCAATTTTTTTTTGTACTTATCTTAATGTAAAGTTTGATATCAAACATTAAGTAATGCATTTGAAAACGTTTGTTGTACGTATACCATCCCATTAAGCCGACACCCAGGGCTAGAAAGTTTCATATCTATTATTTTAAATATTACTATGAAAATATACAAGTTGGTAGGGTTATAGTAGAAGTTCTCAAAATCTGCCTGTGAGCTAATACTCTAAATATGAAATTGTAAACTCCTTTGTACATAAATTATGCATGAAGCACAGTTGTCTAGTGGTAGGACGCAGGGCTCGTGACTAAAGGGTTACATATTCAAGTCTTGCCACTGTAATGTAACTTTGAGCAAGATATTTTACTTCGCTTGTTTCAGTCTACTCAGCTGTAAATGAGTATGTGGTTGGGAAGTGCTAAAATTGTTGAATGGTCCGAAATGGCAGCTCCGGCTGTATGCTCCCTAGGGAGTTGAAAAAGGTATTGGCTGGTTGCAATTGCAAAGGCCCTATAACCATGGATAATAATTTGTGAACCGCTTTGAGACGGCCTACGAACTACGTTGTAATAAAGCGGTATATAAGAACCTCGAATTATTTATTATTATTATTATTATTATTATTAAACAAAGGGTACCAAAATAAAATTGTCCCATGTAAAGGTCAATGTCATGAGGAACATCTGATTCTGAATGAGGTTAAAGCACACAACAACATTGCATCAAATGTATACTTACATACAATAGTATTCATGTTACTACTAACGAGTAAATCAAATATATACTTACATAAAATAGTATTCATGTTACTACTAACGAGTGAGATGACATCTCCACGTCCAGGGCTAACAAGGAAACCGGTCTGAAAAAGGAAAAAACGCAAATAATGTATAACACTACCACACAATTAAAGGGGCTGGTTGGGGAAACAATGTCATATTTGCTAAAATGGCATACACATGTTTAAAATACCTTTTGATGAAATATACCGATTCAAATTTTGCTAAATTCACTCCATAAGAGTAAAAAAAAATATATATATTAAAGAAATCCTAAATCGTCGCCTGAAAGTCTATAATTCTCAATTGACCCAGATCAGTGATGTAATTTTACCGAACATGTGTCATCAACAAGGCCAAATGTAAACATCGCGGTGAAAGAAAAAGATGCATGCAAAAGTCATGACAGGCACGAGATATCAATACCGTTATATATAACAACAACACATAGGTAGGAATACTACACTTGCATCATACATGACCTCTGAAAACAATTATTTACGTATAGTATTGCTGTCTTGTCCGCTAGTTGAGTCCGACATTGCACATGAGGGCGTGCTATTGTTGTTATCTTCACTGCCTCACTTTCGAAACAACCACGCGTCGTGACATATATAAATAGATATGCGCTAAATTTACGCGGGGCTTCCCCCAGATTTTAGTGGTCAAAACTGGACATTGCAAGCAGAACTCGACCATCATATTGCCGTGGTATATATAACTTTTGGATATTGCCGTGGTATATATAACTTTTGAAAGGCCAGAGAACGCATTTAGATCTATTTATTTTGTATTCTTTTCCCCGACCAGCCCCTTTAATATATTATACGTGTGTTCTATCTGATTCATTGTAATCACACCCATATCCTAATCTTAGGTCAACATTTTCTCGTAACAACAGAACTGCTATGTATTAATAATATTCATCAGGATAGCATGACTGCACTGCAAGATGTACCAGAGGAGATGCTTCAGAAACACATACAGGTGTTTTCTGACCATTATTTGTGACAATGCAATACATTGTTTTATTTTCATGCTGTTGACACAGTTGTTTGCATTTTGCCAGGATGTAACTTGAATATATATTGTGTGCCAAGGAACTGTGTATAATGTACAGTTCCCGTGGCATAGATCAATAGACAACTATATAAATCTATATAAATCTCCAATACCTGTGGCAGCCTAATAAGGAAAACTAACAACTGATCAAGACTACAAACTGAAATTATATATGATGTTTACAAATCAAAATCAGAAATCCAGACATCAGTGCAAATGTCCATTGATGGTCATGCCACCTATAATTGTCAAATCCAATGGCAATGGCAAAATGATCATGACTAGTTATATACTATCAAACAAACTGTCAACCGATCCCTGTTAGTTAGCGAGGTTTTAAGTCATTACAATCATTGTGATGGATGCCCTCAACATGTCGTTGGTAATAGTCTGGCACAGTGATAAATTGAAATGAATAACTCTTTGTAAGCAGTTTACATAAACTATACTTGCCATACAACTGAAGGTAGCTATAGAACGGATTACAAACTATAACATTTAGAACGACATATAATTACTGGTAGCTATAGAAAGGATTAATAACTATAATATTTAGAACGACATATAATTACTGGTAGCTACAGAAAGGATTATAAACTATAACATTTAGAACGTCATATAACTACTGGTAGCTACAGTAAGGATTACAAACTAAAATATTTAGAACGACATAAAATTACTGGTAGCTACTGAAAAGATTACAAACTATAACCTTTAGAACGACATATAATGACTGGTAGCTACAGATAGAATTACAAACCATAACATTTAAAATGACACATAATTACTGGTAGCTATGTGTCATTTTAAATGTTATGCTTTGTAATTCTATCTGTATCTACCAGTAATTATATGTTGTTCTAAATATTATATTTTGTAATCCTTTCTCTAGCTACCAGTAATTTTATGTCATTCTAAATGTTATAGTTTGGAATCCTTTCTGTAGCCACCAGTAATTATATGACATTCTAAATATTATAGTTTGTACTCTTTTCTATAGCTACCAGAAATTATATGTCGATCTAAATGTTATAGTTTGGAATCCTTTCTGTAGCAACCAGTAATTATATGCCATTCTACATATTATAGTTTGTAAGCAGTTTACATAAACTATACTTGCCATACACCTGAAGATAGCTATAAAACGGATTACAAACTATAGTATTTAGAATGACATAAAATTACTGGTAGCTACAGATAGAATTACAAAACATAACATTTAAAATGACACATAATTACTGGTAGCTATGTGTCATTTTAAATGTTATGTTTTGTAATTCTATCTGTATCTACCAGTAATTATACGTCGTTCTAAATATTTTAGTTTGTAATCCTTTCTCTAGCTACCAGTAATTTTATGTCGTTCTAAATGCTATAGTTTGTAATCCTTTTTGTAGCTACCAGTAAATATATGTCGTTCTAAATGCTATAGTTTGTAATCCTTACTGTAGCTACCAGTAGTTATATGTCGTTCTAAACATTATAGTTTGTAATCCGTTCTATAGCTACCTTCAGTTGTATGGCAAGGATAGTTTATGTAAACTGCTTACAAAGAGTTATTGTTTGTAATCCTTTCTCTAGCTACCAGTAATTTTATGTCGTTCTAAATGTTGTAGTTTGTAATCCGTTCTATAGCTACCTTCAGTTGTATGGCAAGTATGGTTTATGTAAACTGCTTACAAAGAGTTATTGTTTGTAATCCTTTCAGTAGCTACCAGTAATTTTATGTCGTTCTAAATGTTGTAGTTTGTAATCCGTTCTATAGCTACCTTCAGTTGTATGGCAAGTATGGTTTATGTAAACTGCTTACAAAGAGTTATTGTTTGTAATCCTTTCTTTAGCTACCAGTAATTTTATGTCGTTCTAAATGGTATAGTTTGTATTCCTTTCTATAGCTACCCGTAATTATATGTCGTTATAAATGTTATAGTTTGTACTCTTTTCTATAGCTACCAGTAAGTATATGTCATCCTAAATATTATAGTTTATAATCCTTTCTGTAGCTAACAGTAATTATATGTCATTCAAAATATTATAGTTTGTACTCTTTTCTATAGCTACCAGAAATTATATGTCGATCTAAATGTTATAGTTTGTAAGCAGTTTACATAAACTATACTTGCCATACAACTGAAGGTAGCTAAAGAACGGATTACAAACTATAAAATTTAGAACGACATATAATGACTGGTAGCTACAGATAGAATTACAAAACATAACATTTAAAATGACACATAATTACTGGTAGCCACAGAAAGGATTACAAGCTATAACATTTAGAATGACATAAAATTACTGGTAGCTACTGAAAGGATTACAAACTAAAATATTTAGAACGACGTATAATTACTGGTAGCTACGGAAAGGATTACAAACTAAAATATTTAGAACGACATATAATGACTGGTAGCTACAGATAGAATTACAAACCATAACATTAAAAATGACACATAATTACTGGTAGCTCTAGAAAGGATTAATAGCTATAATATTTAGAATGTCATATAATTACTGGTTGCTACAGAAAGGATTCCAAACTATAACATTTATAACGACATATAATTACGGGTAGCTATAGAAAGAATTACAAACTATAATGTTTAGAACGACATATAATTATTGGTAGCTATAGAAAGGATTACAATCTATAATATTTAGAATGTCATATAATTACTGGTTGCTACAGAAAGGATTATAAACTATAACATTTATAACGACATATAATTATTGGTAGCTATAGAAAAGAGTACAAACTATAATATTTTTAATGACATATAATTACTGGTAACTATAGAAAGGATTAATAACTATAATATTTAGTATGACATATAATTACTGATAGCTATAGTAAGGATTAATAACTATAATATTTAGAATGACATATAATTACTGGTAGCTACAGATAGAATTACAAACCATAACATTTAAAATGACACATAATTACTGGTAGCTATAGAAAGAATTACTAACCATAACATTTAGAACGGCACATAATTACTGATAGCTACTAGTTTATGTTTTAATTTTCAATGAAAAATGTCTCCTATTTTTTAATGGAAAAGATCACATATTTTTTAATGCAAAAGGTCTCATCAGTGAAACATACAAACAGAGATCTTGCCAACTAGTACAGCCTATTTATCACATACTGTGCTATCCAGTGAATAAATATATGCCCATGTCATATTTTTAGCATATTAACCCATGTAATATGACCTATCTGAGCCCTGTGATTGATTGTAAGTTTCAATTGTTTCAATTGTGACGTCATGCCTAGGACAAGTGCATGACGTCACAGACTTATGCACTGGAGTCAAAATGGCAGCTTTTTACATTTCAAGATTGCATGAAAATTGTTGTTTTACACTAATAAATGCCATAAAACTTCATTATGTGACAAAAAGTATCTTACACTTGTTTTCATTTCAGATGAAATTTATGAAACTCGTCACAAATTTTTCATTTTAGCTCGCCAGAGATACGCTTTTGGGCTAATAGAAACTGAATTTGCTGTTACATCCTCTTTTCACTTAGCATCTTTTAAATCCTGTACACATGTACATCTGCAAAATAGCTGTTTATTAGTCAATAATTATAGCTGCTACAGGCAATTCAACACAAAACAAATTGCAAGCATAAAACGTTTACAACTTAATTACCAATATTGAAAAGGAAAACAAATTCAGTAATCCAGTTAGAATTATTTTCTAGTGAAGAGGTAATAAATCAAAATCAATCAATAATTGACCTACAAATAAATAGATCAATCAATAAACCAATTATTTAATTATAAGATATATTAAGATATATGTGTATGCAAGCAGCCTTTTCATTTACCTATGTTAAATTTATACGTTTAGTTTTAGAGGTGGAAGCACCTGCTAGCTACTGTCATGTGTAACAGATTGGGAGAGAAGTTGGTACTAGTCCATTAGGGAGATTTATTGATATTAATGACTCTTTGCAAATTGTCCGACAAGTACATGTACATATGCTGTGAGGACAACAAATAAGGCCTATA